CCTGTTGCAGTGAGACACCTCATTATTTATTTGACCTTTAAAAATTCTAGTTATTCAAAATTGAACACAAACTTTGAGATATGGTCATATATGGAAAATATAATGAGGTCTAGTAATAATTCTAAAACTCTGGGGAACTTTTCAAGTATGGAACATACCTCTTGAACTCTGATGACCTTTAAAACTTGAAAAACATCTTAAGTTAGCACACTCAAATTACTGCTGTGAAGTGTTGGAGGGAGCGAAAGCTGAAATGTATTTTTTAGGGGAAAAAATATAACATTGTCAAAATGTTTTTAAAGTTCCTTGCATAAAACCTTTAAGATTTCTTGGTGTTTTTAAGTACAGTGGATTACTCAGGAAGTGTTTGAATCTCATCTGCTGCAGAACTCCTATTGGGACATAGGAATAGAGTTTTCATTTCATACCCTCTTTGCGTTGCACAGACATACTTTCAACTATACTCTGCTTTTCCTATGAAAATGACAATTATGGCTCTGTGCAACTAATAGCAGAGACTTTTGGGCTGTTAGAGCAAGATTTGTTGTCCATTTGGATGTTTCTTATCTCCTCTAATGAAAAAGCAGTTTTCTGCTTCCTTAGTGAAGTTGTCTTTGAGGCTGCATGCAAAGCAGGGCAGATGCTGTTTTAAACTCTGAAAAAGGCACACGTTCAGATTTCAGTCTTTTGGGCAATTCCACTGATGCCTTGTGAGTATCCTAATTTCTAAAGCCTTATTCTTCTGTTACAATTTACTGCTTCAAATAGGAATGTTTATCTGTATCGGTTTTTTCTTCATCCATTAGAAGAACTTGTATGGTTTTGCTGCACCAGAAAAAGATGTTTTCCTGCACCAGGGAAAAGGTTTCATCAAGTTCCTCTTGAAATTAGGCAGGTTTGTGAGCATGCCATGCTCATTGCTTTTTCTGTCTGGGAAACTTTGTTCTACAGTAATTACCTCTGAAAATATAATCCTTTAAAACTTTCCTTCAATTGTTGACTGGCCAGCTACTCAGCAAGTTTCAGTATACATTGGCTACATCCATTCATTGATTGCTCAGCCAATGGGTTCAAATAATTGTTGAATTTAGCACATAAAAATGTGCATATGATTGATCTACCTCCCTTTTTCTCTTAACAAGTCAAATTTACCCTTCTTAACAGTTACTAAAAGATCTACACTCTGTACTAATCAGTACAGTCTCTTTCATCCAAAACTAGGTATGGAATTCCCATAATGAATGTTGGTCCTCTCTCCTTGGTAATAGGCATAATTTAAACTTTCTTCTGACTCTCAGGCTTTGTTATCTGAGATCTCATTCTTTCCTTCATAGTGTGCAACTCATGTCATGTCTCACCTATAATAATTTTGTAGATTATTGCTAGTATTAAAATTTTGGAACATCTGTTGTTTCTTCCTTCATTTTATGGGGTAAGCCCTATTTAAATATAAAATGAGAGATAATATTTGAGCCCCAAACACCACAACCAAAGCAGAAGAAGAGAGAGGCAAAGTCTTAGTGATTCATTTAGCTGCAGATATGCACTCACAGGATTAGTCCTTAGTAGTTAGACAGTGGAGGCTAAGCAGTTAATTTAGTACCATTTTAAGTAATATGACTATCTTTTTAGACATAACTGCTCTGTGAGTGTTTGACCACGAGGAAACAGGAGAATATACACCCTCCAGTATATGGCTTGAATATTTTAGCTTGGATTTCTCAGGCATGAATGATTTGAGACCACAGTGTCCTCTGGGAAGTCTGATCGAAGCATTTCAGATACCTATGAATATCTCAAAGGTGGGTGCCAAGAGGATGGTGCCAGACTCTTTAGAGGAGCCCAGCAACAGGACAAGAAGTGATGGCCATGAATTGAAACACAAGAAGTTCCACCTCAACATGAGGAAGAGCTGCTTCACATAGAGGGTGACAGAGCACTGGACCAGGCTGCCCAGGAGGGCATCCAGAGACGTTCCAAACCTGTAGGAGCTCCTGTACAACCTGCTCTAGGTGATCCTGCCTTGGCAGGGGCGTTGGACTGGATGCTCTCCAGAGGTCTCTTCCAACTCTAACTATTCTGTGATTTTTATAACAGTTTCCAGACCAGACAATGTTAACTAGATTAGCTTTTTCTTTATTCACCATGGAAGCCATGATATAACTCATCTGCTTCTGTGTCCTGTCATCCAATAGACTCTGTCCCTGTTTGTTGTATTTTCAAGAGGAAATGTTATCATTATCCTGTATTATCCTACCCAGTGTTCCTCTTACAGAGGATACAGACTTCTATGTTGTGGAGTTTCTCTACTACTTTCATCAGGAAAAATACTGTAATCAGAGGCATACTAGCCTTTGTGCTGTCTTATTTTCCATCACTAAAATTTCACTGAACAGTGGATTATTACTACCTAATAACTTCCTGACAAGAAAGGATGACTTGATATTGGCTATATTGCATTGTTTACAAGGCATAATATTTAAGTCTAGATAGTCACCAAAGAGTCCATTAACTGAGAATTTTTTTTTTTAATTCTTTGTGAGCTTGCAAAGACATATATATACATAATGATGATGCTATTATGATTTAATATAATTTCTGTTGTTTAAAGGGATTTTTTTAGTTAAAAAAACTTTGTGCTTTTGTTGGTCTTGTTTCATTTTCCATACCCAACTCTGCACAAGATGGATGGGCTGAGAACTGATCTGGACTTTGGGATGTTTTTAATGGGATTTTCAGCTGAGCCTGCTCCTCTGGCTGGTTCATCTGCTGCTCTGGTGATCGTTGGTGCTGGCTAAAAGGGAGGGAGGAGGAGCTGCATTGTAGGTAGGCAGGAGGGAAGAACAACTTCAACTCATCTTAGCAATCCAGTGGTGAGCCAGTTAAGGAAGTTTACTGAACAAAAAGCATATAACCAAGAGAGGATGAGTAGTGGAGAGGAAGGAGGACTGACAGAGCCTGCAATTTAGATTTACTTACATTCTTAAGAAACTGCACCCTTAATCTCACCCTGGGACTGGACTGCTTAAAAGATGAGAAAAGAGCAAAGGCTGTTTTATTCTAAATCCGTGAGTGCTTTCAGTCACAATTTTTAGCTCTGTGAGTTTTCTAAAGGGTAAATCTTAAAATTATCAAAGAATAGGGTTAAAACACCTCTCTTGACTTAAGCATGGGAGAGGAGATCGAGTTTTTCAGGGTATGAACTTTTAGTCCTTTGCAGTGCAAAATGGACTTGTTGGGAAGGCAGGTTAGAATGCAACTGTGTTGATAATAGAGAAAAATAGTTTTCTGGAAGATTTTAGAATTAAAGAACTATATTTTGTGCAAGATGGACTTGTGTTACTGTGCTGAATTGGATTGTACACCATGTATTCACTTTTGTTGTGAACAAGCTCATATCCAAAATTTCTTTCTCCAAATGCCTGGAGGTTGGGGTATCTTTCTTCCACATCTTTTTCACCGCCCTCTGTAAGCTCAGGTTTCATATATCTATAAACCTGGAAACTGCTCTGGGGCTTAATCTGCAGCAGGATTGAAGTGTAGTGCAGTTACTTAATTGAATGGTATGTATGGGGAGGGGTCAATGTACGGAGAGGACATAAAAGGAAACAACAATTATCTTCCAGTCTGTCTTATCCCTCTAAACAGTTTCAAAATGAATGATGAATGACATAAGAATTCAAAAATAAATAATAATAATGCATTGTCAGGAAATGGTATAAAATGTTTTATATGTAATGATTATTTTTACCTTAATTACATCAAAATATAAATCATTCAAATTACTGTGTATTTGAGTGGAAAATAATTGCATTTTAAATTTCATTGAAGAGGCTTGACAAACCAAATAGTAATTAAAAGCAGTTATCATATAAACAAAAAGCCTCAAAACCTATAGACTATGGATATTTTATTCCTGGATTTGAAAGCAAGCTAGACAGAGTAATGATTGAGATTTATCCTAGATTAGCTGAAAGGGGATGAAAATTAAAAATGTATGTACCATAGCTTTAATATTAAACTCAGACAGAAATGGCAATGTCACTGTTGAGGTGAATTCCTCAAGACATAACACAGACCAAGCAGTCGTATTGTTTTGCTATTGCTGGAATAATTACTTTTTAACCAATTAAATCATTATACTCTAGTACTCTCTGTATAATGCAGACTTGTAGTTATGGATTTCACTGGATTTTTATTCTCGCTCCCTCTCTTAGAATTCCTCAACTTTTTAATATTTTTTCAGTCCGTTTTCCTTGTATTTTTTTTAATTTCCTTCAGAAGAAAAACTATCATAACCAGCGCTGTTCTGTACATGCAGAAAGATGTTAAACAGTTGTCCTCAAAGAAGGTTCAATATTCCTGTGTAGCTCTCAACCCTTCTTCCTTTCGAGCATAGAATTGTTTTACACATATAATGAAGACCAAAACCTGAGTTTATTTTTTACAGTTCTTCCATTTGTGCTGTAGAGATGCCCAGTGGCTTTAAGTGACATTAGGATATTAAGATGAGTTTTCTTTTATGCGTATGTGTATATATTTGTATATGCAGATCCTGTCTTGACACAGTCACCATCTTGAAAAGTTCCTGGTCTGTGGAAAAGATTAAAAAAGGTTATTATTGTCATCATTATCATCTAAATGGGAAATTGACTCAAAAAGCGCTTGTACAAGGTTGTGTCAGAGCCAGGAACAGAAGACCAATTCTTTTGAATCCCATTCTAAAACAGCACATTCACGAGTCTCCTTCCAGGTCAATGACTTCTAAACCCAAAAATGTCTTTGAAATTACTTGTTACAATTTCCATCATTCAGTGGTTTACTTTCATTTGAAGTTCCCCTAATGAACTTCTCAAGCCAATGCGTGGAGGGCAAATGGTAGTTTCCTTAGGAATATAAAAAATGGGTTTATTATGTTGAATAAACTGAGCAAAGATGAAGTTACAGCCAGATCTACCCTTTTCTCATTGGGGTTCCCTTTTTGTCTCTCACACCTCCAGCAGGAACACAGAGGGTTTGTGTCACTTAATTGAGAGCTGAAGATTGAAAGTTGAAGATTCCAGTGTATCATACTTTGGTAAGTTCAACTTTTTACTCCTTTATTGTTTTTATGACTTACAAGTGCAAAGGCACAGGGAACTCACAGGTTCCACACTGAAAAAGGTTTTTTTCAGAATTACTGATATAAAAATCTTTTACATCTATGTTCTGCTCTTAAGGTTGCTACTTTTTAATGCTGCATGATGGATAATTTTTTTTACCACAAGGGGTAAAAAAAGGGACTGGTATAAGCTTTTGCAGGGAAGGGTTTTATTCTTTTTGAGCCTGATGACTCTTATTGATTTGATGTCCTCTAGAAATCTCTTAGAGGAATACACTCTCCTTAAAGAGGTAGATTAACTGTTTGACCTTTAAGAACCACATGAAAATCAACTCTCTTTTAAATGCAAAAATGTCACCTGGTAATAGAAGGGACTTCTTAATATGTTTGGGAGAAAGCTGAAGCTTTCCTTAGGATTGTTGCTAGAGCTTCATTCTATATTCTGCAACTTGCCTTGTGGCAGATTGTTTCATTATCCAGCAGTATCATTAATCTTTTTTATTATCACCTTAAAAATAAACAAACAAAGATTTTGTTGTGTTTGACACAAGTAGTGCATTTTAATTTCATAGGCTTATATTATTGACTTAGAAAAACTCTGTGATGTTTCGGCTTGAAATACTGACTTACAAGTATGAAAATGCTATTCAGATGTGTGGAGATGGCATCTGTTGTGCATATTAAACAAAGTGTGTGATTTTTATCTCTTCCACATGGAGCTTAGTGTTAACTAGGAGAGCTGATATTAATTAATTTGAGAAATAATCACTTGTCATTCATTTTGCTTTCATGAAGATAATTGCGCTGTTCCGTGGGCCATCCTGAAAGCAGGTCTTTTCAAGAAATAAAGGTGTAATGCTGAGTCCCTTTCAGTACTAATAATTGAAAATTCAGTTGGTTTGATAATCTACCTCTGTGATGTGTTTATTTTGCGACTTCTCAAAATGTTTTTCCCATTTGTTTGTGTCTAACAGTTAAAGGTAATAGTGGTGGTGATGATGATGGATTAATTCAAGCTTATTAATGGGGTTTAGTTATAATTTTCTTGTTTCTAGAGTGTGCAAACGTGGACAGATGACATTTATTGGCATTTATATCTACTAGTGTTATGATCTGAAATTAACATAATGATTGTGCTTATGAGGGGAATATATAAGAACTCTTCTGGTGATGTCTTCATTAAACTTGTGGCCACTGGAACAAAGTTTAGTTCCACTGTTTTGGCATTCAAAGCCAAGGAGTCATTGCAGTGCTGGAAATGAACCCCAAAACAAAAGCAAAACAAAACCCAGTACACAAACCCATGTGCTATAGAGAGACACTTAATTGGCCTGTCTTTAGGGATTTGGAAATTGTGATAATGATGCAAATGAACAGAATAAGAGGGCGAAGTTTGTTTAGAGTGGCTTTAAGGGAAACCCAAATAGATCTTCCTGTTATTCCTCCACTCAGGTTTTCAGTTGTTCTGTATTATCTCTGTTTCTGCTGGGGTACGTGGTATATGATAAACTGATATATGCAAGTGATTTAAAACATACATGTGCAAACCCCAGTAACCAGAACTATTCAATAAGCAATGAGTACAGCAGAAATTTATCATGACTATGATTTAATTCGAAGAGTTGCAACGTTTTGTTTTGTTCCAGAGACTTGGCCTAGATTCATTAAGCACTAGTAGCATGTTGGAGAGATGTCTGCTCCCTTTAATTATTATAACTTGAAGGCTACTTATTTAGCATTTTTTTTCATAGCAGACAGGGATTTTTTTCTTTTTACCTGAAAATGAAGCATTTACAGAACAATATGTATGTGTAACAAATGCATTTATTTTAAACTGGCTTTCTTAAAGAGTCTTCCTATTTTTAGCCCAGTTCAATTATGATTACTAAAGAAAAGAGCTTCTGGAGACTAGATTTCTGTAAGTGCTCAGGGCGAAAGCGTCATATTTTCTCACTCTTCCTTGGATTTCATCCAAAGCCAATTCTGTTTAATCTGCCTGCTGCTGCTCTGGAAGTGACATCTGTTCAAATTTACACTCTTTATCATGGCTGACATGTTGTTTGTGTGTCTGTTTACCCCAAGCCCTTGTTCCAACTGCCTCTCGCAGATAATTTGTGATTTTTCCTTCAGTCTATCACAGGTTGCTAGGCATTGAATTGCTGCATATGGAGCTTTGCTATTATTTTTTATTTCTTTTCCTCAGCTTTGCAATTATGTTTTGAAGAGCAAATGAGAAGTCTAGATGCAACATGTGTATCAACAAATAAACTGAAGCAGGGTAGATGAGAAGTGAATGGGTGCGGGGGATGTGGCACACCAGCAATATTCCTTATCAGGGTTTTATATATAGGTCTGGTAAAACATGGGCTGTGATGTCTACACATCTCTTTTGAGGAATAAATATTGCTTTGTAATTTCAGCTGCCTGGTTAAGATGGTACAGCTGAGAACCAGGGGTGCCCAGACCACAACTCCAGTAGTCCCACAGTGTGCAGGGCCGTGCATCGGCACGGGTCGCCCTCACAGAGTGACTTGCTCTTTTCACCACACGTCTGCATTGATCCTGCCCCTGTGCCATGTGCCTCCTGGCTGACTGGAGAACAAATAGGAGCTGACACACCTTTCAGCCAAATGTGCACAGCTGCAGGATCCATCTGGAGACTGAGTCTTGCTGCCGCTGGATGACAAAAGACTAGTGGAAAGAGATAGTGAAAACACACTGCATAAATAGCAGTTGTGTTCCTGAAATCATGTTGTCTTCCTTTCCAGTGCTGCTGTTCCTCCTTCTGCACACTTAGGCCAGTGTTCACATGATACATACCCCACTGCCACATAGCAAACCATTTTTTTTTAATCACTTCACAGATTTCAAACTTTATGGTTTGCACAGAAACTCTGTTGCTTGTCAGGGTTGGAGTCTTGCCTTTATTTCTCTGTAGTAGTTGCTATCTATTAGTGTAAAAGGAGAATATCTTTCAAGACGTGTTGATGAAATCATTATTGGTTCTCATTTCATTATCTCCTTTTTCTGGTAATAAACTCTCCATAATTAGACCTGTTGCCAAGACAGTTCTTACATTCATCAGGCTAAGAGCTTTAAAAATCTGTTTAAGAATTTGCAAGAAGGATATTTCTTAGGGTTTTCTGAAACTCTCAAATGCATTTTCTCTAACAGAGTACACTGTGAAGCTCTTCCATTTCCAAAAGAAGTTATGTAATGACAGCACAAATGCTTCCATAATTCTCTTAGAACATTTTATGCATAAGATGCTCACCTAAATTTAGGCATGTACTACCAAATACAGAATACCATGTCCTAGTCATCAGAAAGTCATCAAGCAATATTGAAAATGAATAGTCAACCTATATAAGAACAGGAAAAATAGTTGTCTTTGGTCTATTATTTTCCCATTGATATAAGAGGGGCCTTTTGTTTGTTGTTACTGTAAATCTGTGACTGCTTTGTTAGTGGTGATATGTCTTCCTCAAAATCACTTGAGAATAACTCAGTGGTTGTTTTAATTTTCTCTTTTCATCTATCCACACGTTGTACATGTTTAACATATGGTCGTGATCATGACAGTTCAGTTGTTTCCACATGCCTTTCCTTGCAAGCTTCACAAAATTTCTGTTAGCAAACATTAAGATTTTTGAATTTTCCCTTTTACTTTATGTATATATTTTACCGTAAGTCTTCTCTTATGTCAGTTGAGTGCTCAGCAGAAGATGGATATAAAATCCTTACAAGAGCAGGATACAAAAGCTATTGAATTGTTGACGTTTGCACAATCTGACCGTTTGATGGATTTTACTATGTGAAAATTTACTCTTTCATAAGAGGGTTTTGAAGAACATTATGAAAGCAGAGGTTGTGTTCATCCCCTATCATTCTATTTACATTTTCAAAGTGCTAAAATAACAAAATAATGCAGTTCTGGTTATTATGTCTGCCTTGCTTTGGGCCGTTTTAATAGAAACAAGTGGATAAGACGCAGCTATGCTTGTTTAACTTCTGTTGGTATTTAGCTGTGACTTGGATCCTGTTTCACTGGGCATTTAATTCACTACATATCCAGAGAGGTGGGGTCTTCACACTAGAAATTCAAACCAATGTTGGTAGCTTTTATGCCAGTAGTTAAGGAGATCTGCTATTAGAGTTCTTTGCAAGAATGTAGTCACAGCAAACTACTCTGTCTCCATTCAGAAGCTGGATTGATTGTAAGTGGAAAAGTTTGGGGATTTGCTGCAGCATTTTTTAATAGTCCAGGTATAAAGGTTTCCATCCAAAATAACTCCTTCCTGTCAACACAAGTAACATGCAACAAACCATCAACCAAATAGTCAAATGAAATGGAAACACAGAAACTAGATACATTTCCCTTTTTTGTGGCACATATATCTCTTTTTCTACTAAAATTACTTTGATATTTGCACAACACTTTATATAGAGACAATGTTGGATGTCCAGTTTTATGAACTGTGGTTTTTTACCATACTTAATCAGTGAGGTATACAAAGACCTAATTTCTCTGCTGTTTCATAAACCTACTGCCTGAACAATTAATGAAGTTCTATTTTATCACTGTATGGATTTAATTAGTTTCCCTCTTTGTTTGCATGGCAAGAGTTTGTACCACATCTGCAAGTTAAATTCCTTGATTATTCTTCTTACTGTTTCTATTATTTTTCCTGTAGTGGGGTGTAGCATAGGAATACAGCATGGGAAGGTAGGTGCATTATAAGGCAGAAAAAAAGATTGAGTGCAAAGCAGATGTTTATGCAATCATATTGATTATTGTACTTATTTTTGCTCCTCCTTGTGCTATATGTTGTCCTTTATATCACTTGGAGACCATATTACTCTTTACTAGAGTCATTTGCCTTTTAAGCTGATTCTCAGAATAGACTGAATATATATATATTTATATAAATCTCATTGTACAGCATGGGATGGGTAGATTTTTATCCTGTGTAATT